AGCCAACAGTTCACTAGTGCAGTAGACTCAGGAAAGGTATTCAAAAGGTCTCTAGGGTACAGGAGAAAAATAAGAGAACTTTTCTTCCCAGGGGCACCTGGGTGCCTCAGTCGGTTAAGTGTCTGCCTTCAGCTCACGTCATGATCTCAGGGTCCAGGGATCGAGGCCCACATCGGGCTCCCTGCTCAGCGGGGAGCCTGCTTCTCGCTCTGCCTGCCGCTCCCCTTGCTTGTGCTCTCTTGCTCAAATAAATAAAATCTTAAAAAAAAAAAAAGTCCAAACCTGGAAGTGAAAGATGTTGTATTAGGAATATGATCCATGCAGTGACCCAGACCTGGATCTTCTCTCAGTGCAGTGAGACTCCAGCGTAAGCCCTTGGGGAGTGAATGTGCAGTCGCTTACCGTTAACTCCCAGTCGTTCTGTTCTCAAAGATTGCAGCCAACACAGAATTAGTGAATATTAAACCGTGGCTCCTAGAGGAAACACAGGGTTAGTTGCTTGCGAGCCTCTGCTTGCCTTTTCATCAGCTAATCAATAACAGACCCTGGTTTTATGTTTGTTTCTGCTTAAAGAAATCATACTTAATAAATAGCACTGACTCGGGGACCGGGAACTCCCAGCCCCCAGCACCGTAACTCGTGCCTGAACGAAGCTTGTGGGACACACGCACGTTCTGCCATCAGGCACATCCCAGCTCCTCGAGCTGATGCTCGGGAGACAGCGCTTTGGCGCTGTGCTTGGAGCCCATCTCAGACCACAGAACCACCCACAAAGAGCACAGAAACGCGAGAACTGTGGCACTAAGTGGACCGTGTAAGGGTTTACAGTAGGGGCTGGGGCAAGACGGCGGAGTGGCTGCAGCCGGGAACGCGCACGGCGGGCGACTCGGCTCTTTCCCCTCTCGGGGCGGGTCCTCAGGCACCCTGCGAGTAGTGACGCGGATTTTCAAGTACGTTGTAGCAAGTGGGCAAATTGACAGATACGGAATCTGCCAGTAATGAGGATCGACTATATATGTTTTAGGTCAGATAAAATAGTACACGGACGCGTGACTTCATTTTTTTTTTTTTAAAGATTTTATTTATTTATTTGACAGAGTGAGAGAGAGAGAGCACAAGACGGGGGGAGCGGGAGAGGGAGAAGCGGACTCCCTGCTGAGGAGGGAGCCCGATGCAGGACTCGATCCAGGGACTCCAGGATCATGACCCGAGCCGAAGGCAGTCGCTTAACCAACTGAGCCACCCAGGTGCCCCGCGTGACTTCATTTTAATGCGCACCACACCTGAGCCCTTTACCTGACTTTGACCGTGAATCCCTCCGCTGCGGTGGTCTTCACAGGGAAAGCTGAGCAGGGAGCCAGGGCCAGCCCCTGGTGGATCACACACTCACTGACTCTTACTAGCGCTGTCTCACAGAGTTGCTAGGATGAATGAGTTCAGGTATTTGTTGTGATATTGCAGCATCCGGTGCGGGTGAAGATGAATTTAAAACACTCTGCATATGTCCTGCGCAAAATGTATGTAGTCGGTGCTCGCTCTTCATTTGGAAAGAGCAAGTGTGGACATCAGGTGCAGAGTGCCCACGAGTGGCAGCCCTTGGCACCTGCCCTCGACTTTGTTGCCTCCTCTTGTTCTCACCTTCCAGGGAAGGCACAGACCAGCTCCCGTTTCCCATGGCTTCCCAAGCCTCACCTGCTTCTGGCCAAGCCTGGACAGAGGGGAGGAGGCAGGGAGAGAGAAAATCAGAACCATCTCCAGTTCACAAAGGCCACACCAGATGAGGCCACAGGCTTGACTGCCCAGCCCGCCGAGTGTGGCTCACTCTGCCTGCACGTAAATCCCAGCTGTGGAGCCTTCCTGAGCCCTGGGCTCCACACCTCCCTCCCGCCCCGGCCCCTCCACCTTTTTCCCAGAGGCTCCGACTCAGTGTAAGGGCTTCTCTTCTGGGGTTTTTAATAAATTGAACCCCCCCACCACCACCTGCATCTGCCACAAATAGTGCTTTGGATGTTGTTGAAGCTCAGAAAAAGAGACGAAAAGTCAGCCCACTCTCATTAGCCATTTGTAACTAGATGTTGCTCTCTTTTTTTTTTCTTCTTTAGGTGGTTCTCTCTTTTACATGTATTAGGATCATGTTAAACTTCTGCACAAGTAAAGAGCACAGTGTGATGAACCCTCATGCACCCATCCCCCAGTTTCAGGAATTCCCAGCCCATGGTGTTTCATCTCTTCCCCCATCCTAGATAATTTGAAAACAAGTCCCAGGCATCATATTTCACTTAACAACATCTCATTACGTATCTGTAAAGGAAAGGGACTTACAAAAAAAAAAAAAAAAAAGGCACAACCAAAATATTACCACAACTTAAGTAAGTAACAGTGATTTCTTACTATCACCCGATGTCTGGTTGGCATTAAATGTCCCCAGTCCAGACATTTCTCTCCAGCTCAGGGGAGAGCTTCCAGCTGACCACTGGGGTGGTGATGGGGTGGTGACGACGAGGAGTGTGCTGTTGAACTTGAGTCTGAGGAGACTGGAGTCACCGCGGTAGAAGAAGAAAGTGTCATTTCCAGGATGGCAGGATGGGACAGAGGTGCTGTGGGGCCCCAGGGGTCACAGCCCCCCCACATGTACGGCGTGGCACACTGGAGCAGCTGTGGCCAGGCTGCTTCCTCATGGCCTAGTCCTCTGGGTGCTTTGGCCAGGGTTCCCCGTGGTTGGGGGGCCACTCTCCAGCCCCCCTGAACATGAGCCGCGTGCGTGCAAGGGATTGCGGGCGGGGGGGGGAGCAGGAAGTGGCACCGTGTGGGCCCGCGGCCGTGAGCACCGTCAGCACCTAAAGGCAGCCTGGGTTCTCCGTGACCCTGCCTTCCCTGGAGCCCTTGTCACACTTGGTGAGCCGAAGCACCGTTCCCTCAGGCGCAGTTTTGTGTTTTGAGCGGCTCGCGGGAACCCGGTATTCCAAATTTAATGGAACGATGGCAGGAATCTCGATGGCGAGATGTGGCTGGGGTGGCCCTAGAGACAGGAGCGGTGGACATACAGCAGGACCTTGCTTGCCGTGGCCTGCCACAGCGCGGTAAGAACAGCCAAGTTGCACGTACTTGGTACTTCGTTTCAGTGCAAGAGGAAAATGAGTTCAGCTGCTTCATGGTGATTTATTATCTCTTTATTAACAGAGAAGAATTTCAGAGCTAAGAAGGTTTCCGCTAAGGTGTGTGCAGTGTAAATCCCGGCAGGTTGCTCTGCCCCTCGGTGACCCACGTTCCTTCCTTATAGAGCACCACTAGCACCTGCTTTAGGGGTTTTGTGAGAGGCAGATGCGTTTGTACATGCAAATACTTGGAAAGGTGCTAGGCCCACAGCCCTAATAGAACTTCTGCAGTCACAGAAACATAGAAATGTGTTAGATCTGCACTACCTGAGGCCATTGTTGAAATGAGAATAATGTGACTGAGGAAATTTTAATTAATTTAAATAGCCACATGTGGCTCCTGTGGGCACTGTATCCAGTATGGATCTAGGGGATATTGATAATACTGTAATGATCAGATGGTCGTTAGGATGGTTCTCAGTGCAGACCCAGAAGGTGACACTGGTATGAAAGAGTAAAGGAAGCATCATAAAATGCATTTGGGGGCACGTCGGTGGCTCAGTCACTTAAGCATCTGACTCTCGACTTTCAGCTCGGGTCCTGATCTCAAGATAGTGAGATCGAGCCCCACGTCAGGCTCTGTGCTGGGCATGGAACCTGCTTAAGATTTTCTCTCTCTCCCTCTCCCTCTCCCCCCCTCCCTCCCTCTCTCTCTCTTTCCCCCTCTCCCTCCCCCTGCTCCCCATGCTCCATCTGCTGCCCATCCTCCCTCTCACTCGCTCTCTCTCCATCCCCCTCTAAAAAAGAATAAGTAAATAATAATAATAAAATGCATTTGTTTCACATCTTTGTGGCCCAGGACACTTAAGGTGTAGGTCATCTCTGAGGTGGAGGGTGCTGATCTTTAGATGGACTGCATCCATGGGAGTCTTTCAAGGAAAAGGCAACAGCATCATAACAGGTGTGGGCGGGAGGATGAACGGGGTTCATATTTATTTTTTTTAAAGATTTTATTTATTTATATGACAGAGAGAGACAGCGAGAACAGGAATACAAGCAGGGGGAGTGGGAGAGGGAGAAGCAGGCTTCCCGCTGAGCAGGGAGCCCGATGTGGGACTCGATCCCAGGACCCCGGGATCATGACCTGAGCCGAAGGCAGACGCTTAACGACTGAGCCACCCAGGCGCCCCGAACGGGGTTCATATTTTATCTTTGCTTCCGTACTGGCTGTGTGACCTCGGCCACGTTGCATAAGGTTTTTGAGCTTCGGTGTTTCCATCTGTAAGATGAAAGTCAGGATACCCACCCGCCTACCAGGGGCATGCTCTGTGCCCCTGCAGGATGCCTTGCTCCTAGTCTAGGAGCCAGGGTTGTCTTTCAGATAATGGATGGTAATAATATCAGAATTGAATACATAGTTACTGTCGTGTGCTACTAATTCACTTGGAGAATTTGATTATCATTTCATCCTGATCATTTCATCCCCATTAGAGACCAGGGATGCTCTAGATTCTGCGCAAATGTATGCTATTTGACTTTTAAAGATTTATGATAATTAGAGTCCATTGAGCCAAGGGAGGGAGCAAAACCTTTGAAATGATCGCTCTATGCTGCATAATTCAGGTAAGACAAAGTAAGCCTGCAACCGTGGCTTCAGGTTTCCGGCTAAACTTACTGGACACACCTGTTCTGTCTGCAAAGATTAGGATACCCAGAAATTGGTAAAATATAACTTTTTTAAAATGAAGAGTTTTCTTGGTGCTAACCACGAACAGAGTGGCTTCTTGATGTCCTATCATTTTTATTTCAATTGAAATGAAGCAACAAAAAATTAGAACGCGCTACTGGACAAGTGGAAACTCTGACTTGGCTGCTCCCTTATATCCTGTCCCTTTTTCCTGCCAGATGTGACATTTGCTGCGTAACCTTTCGAACACATCGAGGACTGCTGCGGCACAACGCACTTGTCCACAAACAACTTCCCAGGGACTCCATGGGAAGGCCTTTCATTCAGAACAACCCTTCCATCCCTGCTGGCTTCCATGACTTAGGATTCACTGACTTCTCCTGTAGGAAGTTTCCTCGAATTTCTCAGGTACTTTGCTCGGCCTGTGGACCCAGCAGCCACCTCCATGGGCCACGTCGTTGGACTAGACCCCCTCACCCTGAGGCTTCCCTTCCTTAAAATGTTGTCAGTTGGGTTTTGTCTTTCTTTTAATCACAACCTTTTCTCTTGAAATTCAGCTTGATCCTTTCAATCTTCATTGGGTCATTAAACTGAGAGGGATAGGTGGGCTTTTATTTTGTGTTGAATTTCTTATTAACTTGAGTATGTGTCTAGCTTACCTGTGCTTTTTGCCTGTTCTTGGGGCATTTGGATTTAAGGTTGTGAATTGCTCACCACCCCTACTCCAGCCCTATCTGAATTGAATTTGTATTTTTTTAAATATTTCTTTAATATCCATGTTACAGGTAAATATTTCTAATGTTGTAGTTTCTATTAAAAATGTTTGGGGTCATTATTAACCTGAACCATATTTGTTCTCTGCCTACAAAACACCTGCCAAAGCCATTTTGAAACTATTTTTTTTAAAAAACTGGGATAGAGGATGTCAGCAGGGAAACTCTTGAGGCACAGAATCCTGAAGTTCAATGACTTATTCCATATGTATACACACACATATATGCATATTACCCACACGTATGCACTCACATAACCCTCCCCCTAGGTGGCGCTGCCTCACGCCCCTGCCCAGGCAATGCCCTTTCTCCCACAATCACGAGGGTAGCCAGTTCTCCACTGGTGGTAGGAAGTCCCCAGCCCATTAGTTTTCCAGGACACCATTTTTAAAAAGAGAATTAATCCTGTCTTTGTGCTGTTGTTACTTAGCCATATTTCATTGCTTCTCTGAGATACCCTAGAGATTGATGTCATTCATCAAGCAAGATGACGCTTGAGATGCTTTGGGGGGGTTTTCCTGATTCAGTCCGGGACAGGAATTAGCAAGCAGCGGGGAGGCCAAGGCTGGGGACTGGGGCAGCTTATACAACAGATACCTTCTGCATCTCAGGGTAGTGATTATTTTTAAATCCTCTCTATTCCCTTGCTCTTGCCTACCCGGCTTCCATGCAGGCCTGGTGTGAGACAAACCTACGAAGGTGCATCAGCGAGCAGCACCGTTTCGTCTGCGATACGTGTGACAAGGCGTTCCCCATGCTCTCCTCGCTCGCCCTGCACAGGCAGACCCACGTCGCCACGGACCAGGGACGGGAAAGGCTGCAGGCCAAGACCCTGCCCGGGGACGCCCTGGACCAGAAGGTCTTCCTGGCCTTGCTGGGCCTGCAGCACACCAAAGACGCCAGGCCTGCCCCTGCCGAGGAGCCCTTGCCCGATGACAACCAAGCAATACAGCTCCAGACACTCAAGTGTCAGCTACCTCAGGACCCCGGCTGCACCAACATGCTGAGTCTGTCTCCTTTCGAAGCTGCTTCCTTGGGCGGCTCTCTCACGGTCCTCCCGGCTACCAAGGACAGCATGAAGCACCTGTCCCTGCAGCCCTTCCAGAAGGGCTTCATCATCCAGCCCGACAGTAGTATTGTGGTCAAGCCCATCTCTGGCGAGTCGGCCATCGAGCTGGCTGACATCCAGCAGATTCTGAAGATGGCAGCCTCCGCCCCCCCTCAGATCAGTCTTCCGCCTCTCTCCAAGGCCCCTGCTGCCCCTCTGCAGGCCATCTTCAAACATATGCCCCCTCTGAAGCCAAAGCCCCTGGTCACCCCGCGGACGGTGGTGGCCGCGTCCACGCCCCCGCCTCTCCTCAATGCCCAGCAGGCCTCCCCGGGCTGCATCAGCCCCAGCCTCCCCCCGCCGCCCCTGAAGCTCCTCAAAGGCCCCATGGAGGCAGCCTCCAGTGCCCACCTGCTGCCGTCCCCGGCCGGAGCTCAGCCAGACACCGCCGCGCAGCTCTTCCTGCAGCAGCCGCGGGTGGACCTGCCGGGCCAGGCCGAGATGAAGACGCAGCTGGAGCAAGATAGCATCATCGAGGCCTTGCTGCCCCTGAGCATGGAGGCCAAGATCAAGCAGGAGATAACGGAGGGGGACCTCAAGGCCATCATGACCGGGCCCGGCGGCAAGAAGACGCCAGCCATGCGCAAGGTGCTCTACCCCTGCCGCTTCTGCAACCAGGTGTTCGCCTTCTCCGGGGTGCTGCGCGCCCACGTGCGCTCCCACCTGGGCATCTCGCCCTACCAGTGCAACATCTGCGACTACATCGCCGCCGACAAGGCCGCGCTCATCCGCCACCTGCGCACGCACAGCGGCGAGCGGCCCTACATCTGCAAGATCTGCCACTACCCCTTCACCGTCAAGGCCAACTGTGAGCGGCACCTGCGCAAGAAGCACCTCAAGGCCACCCGCAAGGACATCGAGAAGAACATCGAGTACGTGAGCAGCAGCGCTGCCGAGATGGTGGACGCCTTCTGCTCCCCGGACACGGTGTGCCGGCTGTGCGGCGAGGACCTGAAGCACTACCGCGCGCTGCGCATGCACATGCGCACGCACTGTGGCCGCGGCCTGGGCGGCTGCCCCAAGGGCCGCAAGCCCTTCGAGTGCAAGGAGTGCAGCGCCGCCTTCTCGGCCAAGCGCAACTGCGTCCACCACATCTCGAAGCAGCACCTGCACGTGCCCGAGCACGACATCGAGAGCTATGTCCTGGCGGCCGGCGGCCTGAGCCCGGCCCACGCGGCTGCCGAGGCCTCGGGGAGGGTCGAGGACGGCGGCGGGACCTTCGGCGAACGTAAACCCCTGGCCCCCTTCCCGGAGCCGCAGAACGGCTTTCTTCACGGGGGCCCCCCCCAGCCTCTGCCTCCCCACGTCTCCGTCAAGTTGGAGCCCGCCAGCAGCTTCCCGGTGGACTTCAACGAGCCCCTGGACTTTTCCCAGAAGGGCCTGGCCCTGGTCCAGGTGAAGCAGGAGAATGTCCCCTCCTTCCTGAGCCCCTCCTCCTCGGCGCCCTATGACTGCTCCATGGAGCCCATTGACCTGTCCATCCCCAAGAACTTCAGGAAAGGAGACAAAGATGTGACTGCTCCCGGCAAAGCCAAGAAGCCTGAGCAGGAACCAGGGAGCGGCGAGCAGCCATCTCCCTGTCCTCCGCCGTGCCCTACCCTGCCAGTGACCTTGGGGCCCAGCGGAATCCTGGAAAAACCCGTGGCCTCCGCAGCCACCACTCTGGAAGCCCACGCTCAGCCCCTGCAGGGCTCTGTTCAGCTTGCTGTCCCCATCTACTCGTCAGCTCTGGTCAACAGCTCCCCCATCTTGGGCAATCCCACCCTCATCAGCAGCCCAGCGGTGTTGCGGCCGCTGCGCCCCAAGCCCCCGCTGCTCTTGCCAAAGCCCCCCGTGACAGAAGAGCTGCCCCCACTGGCCTCCATCGCCCAGATCATCTCATCTGTGTCCTCGGCCCCCACCTTGCTGAAAGCGAAGGTGGCCGACCCGGGGCCCACGAGCCCTGACAGTAACAGCACAGCTCTGGACAGCTTAGGAAGCGCGGCCCCCAGGGCTGCCGCCGCCCCTGCCAGCACCACCAGCCCAAAAGAATCCAGCGACCCGTCCCCTCCTGCCAACAGCCCGGAGGCGCCGTCACCCACCGAGCAGGGGCCAGTGGGCTTGTCCAAGAAGAGGGGCCGGAAAAAGGGCATGAGGAGCCGGCCCCGCTCCAGCAGCGGCGGGGTGGACCTGGACTCCAGCGGGGAATTTGCCAGCATCGAGAAGATGCTCGCCACGACGGACACCAACAAGTTCAGTCCGTTTCTACAGACTACAGAGGATGACGCTCAGGATGAAGTGGCCGGAGCCCCCGCGGACCCCCACGGGCCCAGTGACGAAGAGCAGGGCAGCCCTCCTGAAGACAAGCTGCTGAGGGCCAAGCGGAACTCCTACGCCAACTGCCTGCAGAAGATCAACTGTCCCCACTGCCCCCGGGTCTTCCCCTGGGCCAGCTCCCTCCAGAGGCACATGCTCACACACACTGGTAAGAGGGCCCGCCACGCCAGGAGTGCTACTGCCCGGAGGGGAGGCTGTGGCCTGTCTGGCCCGGGGAAGCCGGGGGGAGCGGGACGGGGAGCAGGCTTGGAAGCGTAGAACCCTTTCCCCACGACCCCACTTTCAGCTTCTCCCTCAGTCTCAGAAGCAGGGGGCTTGCCTGGTGGGGCCGAGAGTTCTTCCTTGTGCACCCTTGTCACCAAAATCACCTGTTCCCGCTGTCTGGGCCCCCGAAGGGCTGCTGGTGAAGGCAAGTGTTACACGTAGGTGTTTAGGGGTGCGAAGGGTCCTGGGCCCGTTGGATCATGGACTTTCATACACTTCATCCCTTCAGCAGGATGTAGTAAGATTACCAGGTGACCCACAGGAGGCAGTGAGGAAAAAGTAGAAGTTGTTATTAAGGGATCGGCCACGGTGGACTTGCTGCTTTGGCAGGAAAAACTGCATCCCCAGTTCTGCAGAGCAGCTTTTAATATGTTGAACGTTCCGTGAAGTCCTTTTGACTCCATATATTCTTAAAGGGAATATTGCAAATTCGCAGTTCTCTTTCATTTCGCTAAGGCAATCCCAGCTTCCCAATTATGGGGAAGATCAGTGACAAATAGTGGGTAGAATTTTTTTTTTTTTAATTTTATTTATACTAAAATCAACAGCTGTTCCGGAGAAACACCCAGGTATAATCGTATTCTAAGTCTAATGTTTGGACTTAAATCGCCAAAAAGATAGCCCCAAGTATTTTTCAAGCGTTAGTTTCTATATGTTGATTTTTAAAGAGAAGTTGAAGAGGGTACATTTTAAGTAATTTTATACCAGGTACTTTGCATAGTCACATGACCATACACTCTCCTCTTAATTCTAATTTACTGAATATTTATACAGGGTTTATATCATTGAGCTAAAGGTAAATAGGGTGAGAGCCTTAGCCTTTTGGAGATTACTACCCGAATACTAATGGGTAGGACCTAAAACCCAATAGAGAATTATATCATACAGGATTGCCAGATAAAATCCTGGATGCTAGTTAAATTTAAATTTCAGATAAAAAGCAAATAATTTTTAGTGTAGGTATTTTTCCATGCAGTAGTGGGGATAGACTAAATACTGAATTGTCATTTATTTATCTGAAATTCAGACTGAAGTGCTTTTAGTTGCTAAATCTGGCTTACAAGGCTTAGGACTGGCGAGGGGGAGGTCCTGGGAATGAGGTGTGAGCCACGCTCTGTACCCAGGTGGAAAGGCTTCATTCAGAAGTGGTGGTGATCACAGAAGCTTCCAAGAGCCCATGGCAGGCTGTTCTACTAGTGAGGGAGGTCGGTCGCCGAGCAGTCCCTGGGAAACGGGGAGGGGAGAGCAAGTGGGCCGGGGTGGGGGGTGCTCTCTCTGGGCTGGTGGGACCTCGAATCCAGGACTCAGGTGGCAGCAAGCCAGGAGCGCCTGTCCACCAAGGACTCCACTACTGAACAGAATTTCTAGATTTGTGAAGTATATGCTACATTTTCACACTGTCATTTTCATTTGAAATCCTGTAAGCCTGACAAAGTAAAGCCACAGTTCTCTGAAGGAAGTTCAGAAAAGAAAATGCATGGTAAACAGGAGGTGCCCCGCACAGCAGGCTCTTGCTACCCTTTTGGGGGGGGGGGGGGCACTTGTTTGTCAGCTGCAGAGCCTTTGGAGAAGTGAGTACTTCTGTTACCACTTTCCAGAAAGCAGATGGCTGGATCTGACGAGGAGCATGGCTCTTGCCATGCCCTACCCTCTGCTCGCCCCTGATGCCGCCCCCCCCACCCTCCCCGCAGCTGGGAGTCCTGTGCTTAGTAGAGAGCGTGCACATTGTCCGAGCGTGAGGCCAGTTACTCCCGGACTTCCTCTTCCTAGCAAACCACCGTCTCCCTAGGAGGACCGGAGTGGCTGGTACTTGCTTTCCAGGGTTCTGCCCATGTCTTGCACGTGCCTGCCAGAAGTTCCCACTTGTGAATGCATCCTTTCAGTCGCCTGGCTTTTGAATGCCAAAATGTCCTAGTTGGTTTAAAGTCTCGTAGCTTCTGAAACCAGGCAAGGAAGATGGGGGAGGTCTGTTGAAGATGGAGTACGGCGGGGTGGGCGTAAACATCAACATGTTCTGCCCCTTCTCCCTAAGCCGTTCCTAGACCCTGCGTGGCTGTGTCTCCTGCAGCCCCGTCCGTGACGCCCTGTCTGACCGTGTTCTCACTGCCGTGCCCTCCTGCTGAGGGTTGCCGGCCTTGACTGGAGGGGAGCACTCGGCGTTGGTGGAGAGACCTTCCAGAGTTAGTCTTCGTGACCGTCCCACGAGGGCGATGTTGTCCACATCTTGAAGCAAGGAAATGAGTAACAGCCAGTCGTTCTGGGGGTGGGTCATGAGCGGTCGAGCCCGAGTTCAGAGCCAGGGTCACGTTCGCTGCGGCTGCCCCACGGTCGGGGGGTGTGGCTGCTTCTGTGCTGACACGAAGAGAGGGTGTGCCTGCCCCTGCCGTCCTGACATGTCCTGCCATGTTCCGGTGCAGAGGACTGGCAAGGGGTTGGAGAGGAGGGGAACACAGTTACGGACCCGAATCCTAGTAATCAGCCCTAAGGGCCGCGGGACGGTCCTAGCCGCACGCACAGGCGCCGTATAAGCTGGCGCCCCCTGGGCTTTGTAAGCTCCTTGCCGTCCTTCTGCTTCAGCTCGCAGGGACTGTCTCAGCCTCACCTCTGTTGCATAGTTTCATAGAGCACTTGGCTGCGCCTGGTGCCGTGTTAGGACATTTTCCATTCATCGCGTATCCCAGCTGGACGGAGCCTGGGAGACCAACTGACCCACCCGCTCTTCCCACAGACGTGTTTTCCTGGTAGACGCTCTGCTGTTGAAGAATCCCCCAGCTGTGTTTGGTTGCCTGGCTCTCTGGGACGTGCTCCCTCCAGAAACCTTGGAATAAGATGGAGTTAAACACGCCTCTGAAACAGCCCCGTAAACAAAAAGCATTCTACAGAAAAGAGGCTTTCTTTTTTTCTCTTTTTTGGGGGCTGGGGGCAGTAGTGTTAAACTCCAGCTGTGTTCCAGCCCAAAGCCTCGAGCGAGCGGTGTCCGGGTTTAGATCGCCGTTAGGCAAACCGCATCTGTGTCTCAAGAGTCCGCCCCCTCCCGACCTCTTAGCAAATGCACCGAGGGATCGTAACATCCGTATGTAGTCTCCTGGAGGGGCAGCATTAGGGAGACCGGTGGGGCTTGCTGCGGCCGAGGGGCCCGTGGCTCGGGTTTTCGGGATCATGGCTCAGGAGGAAGCCGGCGTCTGCCGTCCTATTTCATCTTCCCTGGTGAGCTCTCTGTGCACGGCTGAGCTCCCTCCTTGCACTCTCCTCCTAGCCTGTGTCCTGGGGAGCAGGGATGGTTCCTGGTTCCTTGGCTCTTCTGCCTGAGTAGTGTTGCCCCTTTGGGAGAGGACAGTCCACTGTCCCTCCCTTTTCCCCCTCATTTAGGCCACAAGCCAAGAGAATACAGAAAATGCAGTCAGCCCGTGTTTGCTCCTCCTCACCTTCCTCCTCCTCTCCTCCCTTTTCTCCTAAAATGAACTGAGCCTCCCACCTCCCCTGCCCCCAGCTCTGACATTTTGGGATTCTCCCAGTTGGTTTTAGCGCCTGTTCTTTGCTAGGCTGAGGGCCTCTGCACTCAGCCTGTCCCACCTGCTGCTCACAGGCCGCCGGCGTGAGTTGAAATCGGTACAATGTGTAGGCCTCCGCATGGAAAGTGCTTTGGACACCAGTGCTGGTTGGCTTCTTCTGCCTTTCTGAAGGGGCAGCCTTGGCCATCTTCACTTAGCCAGCCCTGTGTGCACCTCTGTCACCAACAGAGAGCAGGAAGCCGTCTGTGGGTGGGAAGCGGAGTGATCCCACTTACTCTTGCTGTTCATTCTTCTGCTCCCGATGGCCCGGGTGCCTGCCAGATAGCATCACGTAGTATAGGGTTTCTCTCTTTCCCTGTCTGCTCTCTGGAAGGGAAACTGGCTGGCTGACGGTTTTCACGGCTCCTGTTGGAGGTGGAGGGAGGCCGTAGGTCTTTGGTGCAAAGGGCACTCCTTATGGCTACAGGTACATTGAGAAACACCCCTGGCAGAGCCGTGACTTGTGACAGTCACCCAAATAAATGAAATCGTGTGATGCATTCCCTGTAGGTTACCAGCCAACAAGTTTTGGGGAAACCCATCTGATGAAAAAATACTGGAGGGGCTCATGTTTTTCTCTGTCCATGCACTCCAGAGAGCACACCGCTTTTCACAGTATAAGATTTGTCTGTCAGTCAAAATCAACAAGTGAGTGAATGAATGCGTAAGTGTAAGGCTTTCGCAGTGAGAGGGGGATCTTTGAGAGGTTCCTGTTAGTTGTCACTTTGAGAACCTTCTGACATCATTGGGTCTTCTCAATTTAGCACAAGAATCTGAATCTTCGTCGTGGGGTGTGAGCCTGGCTGTCCGAACCCAGCTGTAAAATCACAAAGTGAACCATGTAATGGGAAAAAGTAAGGAACTGGTGGTTGTATTTAAAATCAAGACTCCTACAGTTCCTCATCATTCAGCTTCTGACTGGTTTCACTCCCAGCCGGGTCTCTCCCTCTCAGTCTGGCCTGACTCAGAGATGCTATGATATTTGATCTTGGACGATAAGATGTTATTTTTCATACTTAAAATAAAGACTGAATAATTATGAAAGATTATGTTCAGTTTTTAGTGAAAAGCAAGAATAATTTGAAGCGTACGCCAAAAACAAAACAGAACAAAAAAAGCACAACCAGTCTGCATGCAAAAGCGTGATATATATATATATTTTTTAATGTCATTTGTATAACTTAGCAGAAAACACTCCCTGAGCTTTGTGGAGGGAAACTTGAAAGCAGTCGGTGGGTTCTGCTCTGCACTTGATCCTGTAGGTCCCATGTGGGGCTCCTTAAGAGCATACACGCAGGGCTTCTGGATGTCTCATTCCATGGTCTTTGCTGGTTCCGGGCATCTGTATTCTTAGAAAGTTCCACCGTTGATTTCGAAGCATCACCTGAAAGGGTCCTGCCGCTCAGCAGGGAAGGGATGGCCCTCACTTTGATGGCTGCTGATGCTGGAACTCAGTGGGGCAGTGATGCTGGTGGTGCTGGGCTGTGCACCAGCGTGCTCGGTGTGAATGGCACCCCCTGGAGTTGTGTGGTGCACGGTGTTCCTGCTCCCTTCCCCTTGTGCTGAGCCACACCCCCTCCGGGCACCTGGCCCAGGCAGTCTACTCGCAGTGAGTGCCTGGGCTGGTCACCTGCACGAGATCGGGCATCTGTGGGTCGTCCCCCCGAGGCTGAAGGGCCCCCGGGGTTGGTGTTCCAGGGGGGTTGTGCTGGTTGACTTTGCGGCCAGTTCCTGACACGGGCGTTTGATTTTGGCCATCCCAAGGTTACGAGGCACACAGGCCAGGCTGCAGCTCGGCCGTTGTGTTTGTTAGTATACAAAGCCTGTGCCCCTGTAAAACCAGAAACCGGGACCTTAGCACTTGGGGGGAAACAAGAACCCAGTGATGGAGTAAATGATTTACCGCCACCTTCTCTCTCCAGAACTTCAGCTCACCCGACCCTTCCCTTGGCGCCCCCCCTTTTTCCTCCTCCCTCCCTCCTCGCCCTGGCTTTCCCTGCACCTCCAGCCACGCAAGCACAGGACAAGTTACAGGGGAGCCTAGTCTGCGTTTTGACATATTGTCTTTACGGAAAAAAAGGATCAAAATCGAAGGTTAAGACAGGGCAACGCAGAGCAGGGAACTCCTCTCTCAGGAGTTACCCCATGGTGGAGTGGGGTGGAGGTAGGGCCTACTCAGCCACTTCTCTCCACAGGCAGGTCTGGGGCCCGGAGCACCTGATCCCCTAACAGACTCGGTCCTGTGTGGGTCACTACGTACTACTAGCAAGGGGAACAAAGAACCTTTAATGCAAGGAGCAGGCCGCCTCCGTCTAGCCTGCTAGGACCGCAGTGAGCGCGGGCAGAGGTCACCGTAGGACTGTCTCAGCGGGTCGGACAGGAGGCGCGTTTCCCTGCTTCGGGTCCACTGTGGGCCAGGGAGAGGGGAATGGCTCCCAGGGATGTCCCGGGCTCCAAGATGCTGGTTTGATTTCCCAGCGTCGGAGTCCTTGCCATGCCAGAAATGACCAAGAGGTGGCTTCTCTTTGTGACCGACTGTAGGTGTTTCCTTGCTGTGCTCTAAAATCCCTTTACTTGCTCTTTTTTTGTTACTGTTAAGATTTTTAATTGTAATACTGTTGTTTTAAACGTCTTGGTTTCATTGTTAACTTTTAGCGTTTTGAAGACAAAACCTTCATTCCACTTCACTCAGGATAAGGGAAGATATCATTTGAGTTGTTGATGTTACCGGTATTTTTTTAAATGTGTGTGTGTGTGTTTAAAGGAAGGGGTGGGGAAGCAAATGCCAGTTATCCCAGGAGAATGAATGGAAAGCGACTTTTTCTTTTTCATTGCAGTAGAAAGCCAGATAAATATATATTTTTTTTCCTGCTTCAGGTCAGAAACCCTTCCCTTGTCAAAAATGCGATGCCTTCTTTTCTACCAAATCTAACTGTGAACGCCACCAGTTGCGCAAACACGGAGTTACCAACTGTTCCCTGAGAAGAAACGGGCTTATCCCCCAGTCAAAAGAGAGTGATGTTGGACCCCATGATAGCACAGGTAGTGTGCTTCCGGGTGATGGAGAGGAGGAGAGGGACAGAGGAGGGCAACTCCGAGAGAGAGCTCTGCTAGCGTGGTAGCGAACCCTAGCCGTGCATGCAAGCACGGCCAGCTGCCTCTCCCCTTTCTCCGTCAGACTCGGCAGGCGGTCCATAGAAGTGGGCCCTGCCGAGGACCGGGAGCATGCATGCAGCAGGATGGGGCCTGGGGAATCACCGACAGTGTTCCTAGATCACTTTCCTGAGCCACTAGGGCAGATCTGTGGCCCCCCCCAGCAGACCCCTGTTTGTGCTGTGGGGGCCCTTCTGGAGGTGGGAGATGCGGTTGGGGGTGCAGTAGGATCACATCTAAAAAGGATATGAAACCCCACTAGCTTGGGGTGTTGTTTTCTCAGAGCCCAGCCTCTGCCGCATCCTACAGAGCAGGGATGGGCTCCCTCCAATGTCAGGGTATTTCAGGAAGTACTGATGCCCAGCCCTCCACAGGGGGAGGGGTGTGTGGGGAGGGGTGTTTTTCTCTTCAGTAACTCTCTTCCCAGTAAAAAACCTTGTCTTGTTTGAAAAAGCACTCTGCATGTCCTTTCTTTAATCACATCTCTGCTTGACCTGAATCCGGGTATTATTCTCATGTGCTGATAGCGCTTCCTTCCTCCAGCCCCTACAGAGCAATTAACGGCTGCTCAGTGCGTCTCCTGCCACCTTTTTTCCCCCCCTTACAGCTTCTGTATTCACTCCTGTCCTCTATTCAGTACATCCGGCATCTCCCAAGTGCTGGCGTTCTGTGCTTCCCACCCCCCACAAACAGATCAGAAAATTGGCTGCTGCAGGTTACCTACATACATGACTGTTGGCCATGGCTTAGTAACAGGTGTGGATTCAGTCCTGCAGATCTCAAAAGCTTGACATGTCCCCATTGCTCAAAGCCAGAGAGGTTCTCCCCAGAGGCGTTTGTCCACGGGTGTAATTGTGTCCTTGTGTTTCTCTCCCTCAGGTGGGGGTGGGGAGCTGTGCTGTCTGGGAGCCACCCCCCCCCCCACCCCGGCCCCCTTGTCCTTATCTAAGTTACAGGGGGAGAGGGGTACATCTGAATGGGTAGCATTTCCAGGAAGAGGAATTGATCCAGACCCTCTGCTTTTTCCCCCATGCCTTCCCCCAAGCCCTAGTGAAACAAGCCAGCCCCTGAACTGCCAGGCTCTTCGGTTAAGATCAAACCCTCTAAGGGCATAAAAACGTAAGCCAGTTTGCCGCCTCCTCCCCCCAGCTTCCATTTCTACATAATTGGCTGGGATCTTTGGGTAGAGAAGGGTACGGAACCTTGGATCCCCGTGAACCAGAGATCAGCTGTTCCATCTCCAGAAAACCCACAACGATGCTGGCGAGCTCGAATTTGCTGCAGACGATCGTTCCTTAATGTTTAAGAGCTGACTGCTGTGTCACCTGGTAGCCCCGAACATTTTCTCGAAGCCTGGTTTAAGAAAGCAGCTATGTGATTCTACCCATAGTGGTCCCCAAAGAGGGAAAGCAGTGGATAATTGAGGTCAAGGGGAGCCGTCAGTTTCCCAAGGTGGCAGGCAAGTCAGAACCAAGTGCTGGATGCACATTTTGCATTCAGCTTCTTGAGCCTGTGGATGAGCCCAGAACCCAGGCCTCCTGCAGACATGGCGGGGGTCGGGGTGGGGGGTGCACAGCTGTAGGAGCCTGAGGCCCAAAGCTAATCAGAATATACATCTTAGCTTCAGTTCAGCACCAAATTTTACATTGTGGGTGTATTTGTTTTTTAAATTTGCAGTTACATGAGTTCTGTTTTGCCACATCCGTCAGAGCCCTACCTCTGCCCTGTCCTGGATGTTGTGTAGGGTTTCTTTAAGGGACAAAGCCTCTGGAAAAAGAAAATTCACTGAAAGCTGTAATGTGAAACCAGCAAAGAGAAAATAAATGTTTGGTTTCATTGTGGTCACAATCCATACATAGTAAGAAAGAGGGGGACGAAGGGTTCAGGGAGGTGGAGTTCAGTGATTTCAAGGAGAGCTGCAAACCCAAGTGAGCATGGCGGGGGTGTGAGGTGAAGCTTGCTTTCGGGGCTCCCTCCCATGAAGTTAAAAGAGGCTTTAGAGGAAGACCATAAAAAAAAAAAAAAAGACCGGAAATGACCAAGGAAGCTCTTGAGGGGTTTTCTAGGTTTATCTGCCCAGGTTCAAGTCCCTAAACATGTTTTATAACATAAGTCTGACTTTTTTTTTTTTTAAGATTTTATTTATTTATTTGAGAGAGAGAGAATGAGAGACAGAGAGCATGAGAGGGAGGAGGGTCAGAGGGAGAAGCAGACTCCCTGCCGAGCTTGACATGTCCCCATTGCTCAAAGCCAGAGAGGTTCTCCCCAGAGGCGTTTGTCCAGGGGTGTAATTGTGTCCTTGTGTTTCTCTCCCTCAGGTGGGGGTGGGGAGCTGTGCTGTCTGGGAGCCACCCCCCCCCCCGCCCCCAATGCGGGACTCGATCCCGGGACTCTAGGATCATGACCTGAGCCGAAGGCAGTCGCTTAACCAACTGAGCCACCCAGGCGCCCCAAGTCTGACTTTTTTAATCATATAAGTTCTTTAAAGAAAATATACCCTCGATTTCCCCCGCACCCACCCACCCACCCAGCCAAGGAATGCTAACAGGGGCTTAAAGGGGGCACATCGGTCCTGGAACTAAAGCTCTCTGTTCACTTTCTCGTGGGCAGACAGGTTCTCTAGCCCACTTTGTCTTTGGGGGATACTCGTGGTTCTTCAGGTGATGCCTGTGGGAGCCTTCATATTTATGGGCACCTGCATATGACTTTCTAAGTCAGCAGAAACGTGGACATTTTATTCTGCTCCTTACGGGTGGCCGCCCTTACCAGCCAGAAGCCCGCGTGCCCGGCACCACAGGAAATGCTCTGGGGAGGCGAAACTCAGACAGGAGCTTCCTCACCAGCTGTGCCCTTGGCCAGGCCGATTGGGTGTTTAGATTGGTGGTTGGTCACTTCAGCTGAGGAACATGGAATTGCCATGAAGCAGTAGATATTTCATCGTCGAGCTGATATGAAAGTCTTCACTTTCCCCGTAGGAGGAGCTGTGGGTTTTTTATCTCCTTGTGCACGCAGGATCTCTGCTTCCTCGCGCAGTTTTCTTAGGTTTAGCATCACAAATGAGGGGACCGGTAGGGACAGAGAATTACCACTTAAGGTAGGTGGCATTGCTTAGAAAAGCCATCTGTTCTGCTACCTGCGTTTGAAGGTGTAGGCGGTTGAAGAAGGAGGGGATCAAAATAGGACCTGGTGTTAGAAGCTGGATATTCAGGAAATGAGAAGAGGCCAAGTCCGCTGTTGCCAAGGATCACTTAATAAAAATCAGTTGGAGTTGCTGCAACTTCAAGGGCACAGGCTGCCCTGTTAAAACACTCCCCCTAGTGGAAGTTTGGTAGAGCATAGCCAAGCCCCCTTTTGTTCACCAGAGGAAGTGAGTTGGCCTTTCACAGGATTTAGGGTGAGCTCTCCATTACGCACGCTAACTAAGGAAGGGCCCAAGAGTGAGAACAATCTGAGACTAACATATTTACTTCGGTTTGGTTCCAGAATTCATCACGATTTTTTTTTAAGATCATCTTAAATATGTTCTACCATGAACTTGAAAACCCATGTTCTTTGGTGAAAGCTATAATAAACTGTAATAATAAAGCTAAGTAATGAAGAGAAACAGCCTAGAATATACTGGGACAAATAGGAAGTAATCAGAGATCAAGTCTTTTTTTTAAAGAAACTGAGCGTTCTATACTTAAAGACTTTATACCAAAATTCATTTAATAGACGCTCCCTATTGGGATGATTCAAGAAAACGAGTGTACAGTTTTTTTGTAAAATAAAGCCTAGATGGTGTGTATATTTCAGGAGTCATCTTCTTTAAACTTGTGGATAATGTATAAAAATCATTTATTGATACATTTTATAGTCACACCATAAGTATTTGTCTCTTTCTGAAACTTCTTGAGATACTCAAGTAGTGCCTGTCTTAAAAGGCACAATCCGAATAAAACCAATGAAACGATGTCAGTGGAAGTGTAGATGGTTGTAGGTGAGCCAAAAGCCCCAGACAGGTGTGACCGTGGCAAGGGTAGGACCAGCTCCCTGAATCGATCAGGTGACTCAGACTGATGGGCACAGGTGGACATGGTGATATGTCTGGTCACATACGCGAGGGGCCTGCTTAGGTGCCAGAATGCACTGGCTCAGGTACTGTAATCAGAGATCTGGCATGAGGAGGGAGGTACCTCTGACCTGGGTGCCACGAAACCATGGATTTTGTCAGCCCGGTTGTCGGAGGAATTTGAGTCCCTGCAGTAATAAATTGGCCACTGGATCGATAATTAAATAGTAGGTCTCAGCAGACAGCTTCACGGTCTTAGCACATAGTGAAAAAGTCATTAAGTCCTCCTTCAACCTGAGTTCAGAGAAGACGGTGCTCCTGATAAGTTCGGCATTATTGGTGCTGCCTCGGCGCCATCCCTTAAGGTCATTAAAAACTGGTAGACTTTCCACATTTGGTTTTGCTACGGAGGGTGGACAGGTAGGAACAAACGAAGAGCTAGGAGGTGTTTCCACTCACTGCGTGGGGACCTCACAGCAGCGAGGGAGGCCTACAGGTGTGCATGCATCTCCTTCTCCGCCTCGAACTCTATCTGGGAGTTAGCCGGCAGGTGGGAGCGTGTGTACCATAGCACAGAATACATGCTTGGGGCCATTTTCTGTGAGACGCTCATTGTACTAAGTTCCGGGAGTGGTCCTGTGTATGTTGCATGTTTATATATCTCTTTGCACTGGAAAAATAACTTCGACAGCTCCGCTTCCTCAACCTCCCTAGTGCTGCGAGTCTCTGGAATGCACAAACTCTCCTCTCTCGCCGATCCTTCTGTCTGTGCTGCCCTGAGTCGCTCACACCTTCCTGGGGGCCTGAGCATCCCTGTGTGTGGCAGTGGAGGGCACCGCTTGGGGGGGGGGGGGGGCAGTGGAAGGGGAGGGCCAGAGCTGCAAGAGCAGCTGGTCCCTTGACCCCAACCTGCGTGTGTGTGGAGGCTCCTTTTGCCTTTCGTGAACTAACCCCAGGTTCACCAGGCCTTCCGGGGATGCGAGTGGGAACAAGGAGGGGGTGGGGATGGGGAGAGGCATCCTCGCTGGGTTTGGCATACAGGCTTGGGGGCCGGTCCGGCCGAGAGTCCCAGTGGGGCTCTTGGAAGGGGCGAGTTGGGTGGCGTCGGGCCTTAGCCTGTGCCCCTGTGCTCGCTCCCACAGATAGCCAGTCGGACGCAGACACGCCAGCGGCGGGGGGCGAAGTGCTGGACCTCACCTCCCGCGAGAAGGAGCAGCCGACGGCCGAGGGAGCCCCTGAGCCCAGCCAGGTCCAGGAGGAGCTCCCCGCGGAGGACGTGCCGCAGGGAGCGGCCGCGCCCCCCGGGGACGCGGAGGAGCAGGGAGCCGGTGAGAGCCAGGAGCACGACGACAAGCGCGGTGTGGAGGAGAGGGACGAGGACGCGGAGGGCCCGGAGGAAGACACCGTCAGCAACAAGAGCCTGGACCTCAACCTCGCCAGCAGGCTGATGGGCTTCAAGCTCGCCGAGGGCGACGCGGGCGCGGCGGGCAGCGGGGGCCCCGCCCCGCAGGACCAGAAGCACGCCTGCGACGTCTGCGGCAAGAGCTTCAAGTTCCAGGGGACCCTGAGCCGCCACAGGAAGGCCCATGGCCGCGAGGAGCCCCGGGAGGACGGCCCGGGCGCCCCCGGAGGAGGGGCCGAGGGCCCGCTGCCCGGCCCCGCTGGGGCCCCCGCGCCCGAGCCGGAGGAGCAGCCGGCCCAGCCCTCGGAGGAGCCGCCGGCGGAAGCGGTGGCCTCGTCGTCGTCGGAGGCGTCGGGGGAGAAGCCGGGCGAGGAGGCGGAGGGCGCCTCGGACGGGGAGAGCGTGGCCGAGAAGAAGTCCTCGGAGAAGAGTGACGACGACAAGAAGCCAAAGACGGACTCCCCGAGAAGCGCGGCCAGCAAGGCAGACAAGAGGAAGAAGGTGTGCAGCGTGTGCAACAAGAGGTTCTGGTCCCTGCAGGACCTGACTCGGCACATGAGGTCCCACACAGGTAAGGGGCGCAGGGGGGCCGCTCCGCCGGCGCGGGCTCCCTCGGGCCACCGCGGCCTGGAGGAGGGCCCCCCCCCCCCGGGCAGTGAGCCCGAGGCGGTGGTCTGAGCGTGCGCGGGGCGGGGCCGTGAAGCCGCGGGAACTAGGAATCTGACTGGTGGTTCTCCTAGCGGTTGGATCATCCTGCCTCCCGGCGGGGTCATGGCGGGGCGGCCCCTCAGCAGTGGGCGTTTTGAGAGCTTTTTGGGCAGTCCTCTGAGCCACCATCTTCCTAGCTCTAGAATGGGGATGAGGGCTGCCCTGTCCCATAGAAGCATCTAGAAGCACGTGGGGGTGGGCGTTTGGGGCCCGTGGTGAGCCTGGGCAGGACTGGGGGTGTGGCCTGGGCAGCGGGCCGTAGGGACAGGTGCTCTGCGGTGCTCTGCGGGAGGCACCTGGGCTCCGGCCGGACAGCCGCCGCACGTGCGCACAGCCAGGGGCTTGGCCTTCCCCGGCTCTGCGGCCGCCCAGCTGATGTCACTGAGCAGGAGCTGCGCAGGCATGTCAGGGTGGCCGTGTTGCACGCATGTCCTCGCCCCTTCTGGAACTCGCCACCTACAAACCCTGAGGCAGGGGCCATTGTTCGGTAGAAAGGAGGGGACCTGGATGTACTCATAAAGCTGAAAGATTAAACCTATCCCACCCGCTCCCTCCAAAAACAAAAGCCGCCTAGGGCCTACATCTTGGTCTGGGCGTTGCTCCTGCGGCAGCCGCGGTGCACACATCGTCCCCGCACGCTCCTCGCCCCGCCGCGCGGGCATTCGGAGGGCTCCGAGCTTGGCTCCCAGCAGAGAGAGATTCTTGGGCTCCTGGCAGGTGATGCTCTCAGCTGCTCTCAGCCCAGTGTTTGTGAGCAGGAGGGAAAGGCCCAGCTGCTCCGTATCCGAACACAGAGTATCTGGTGCCTTTGACTGAGGAGGTGCCTCTGTCCTGCACAAGCCGCAGAAATGGCGCCCTGTCCCTGTGAGAGGGGCCCCTTTGCTGTCCTCCCCTGAGGTTCTTTTCAGGCCAGTCTGGGTGTCCGTGAGGCTTCCACCTGGGGACCCCGGTGCCTGAATCAGTCTGAACAACCTAGTTGGAGAGACGGAAGGGGGAGAGAAGCCGAGGCTGGCCCCTTACATTTCCGCTTCCTTATTTTGCCACTTCAGACAAACAGGAGGGTTTCCCCTGAGTCGGGGCGCGGGGGTGGGGGTGGGGCAGCGGTCCTGGCCCCCGCTACTCTCATGTAGCACGGAGAGCTGGAGGCTGGTGGCCTTACTGTTAACAGACTCGATGTCTTTCTCCCGTCGCTTCCCGTCGCTCCAGGAGAAAGGCCATACAAGTGTCAGACCTGCGAGCGAACCTTCACCCTGAAGCACAGCCTGGTTCGCCATCAGCGCGTCCACCAGAAGGCCAGGCACGCCAAGCAGCACGGGAAGGACAGCGACAAGGAGGAGCGGGGTGAGGAGGACAGTGAGAGCGAGTCCACCCACAGCGGCAACAACCCCGTCTCGGAAAACGAGGCCGACTCAGCTCCACCGGCCAGCAACCACGTGGCTGTCACCCGGAGCCGGAAGGAGAGCCTGGCCAACGCCACCAAGGATCCCGGCCTCAGGGAGGAGCGGGCGGCAGGGCGGACGGCGGGTGCCGGCCAGGCTGAAGCCGGCAGGAGTGCTCCCAAGGCCGCTCCAGCAGGCAGCCCCAAGGAGCAGGCGTCTCAGGGTGACCCTGACCCGGAGAGCCCGGCGGCCGTCGGGCAGGACCTGCCAGAGCTGCAAGGCAAGAGGCCCGCCCACCCCATCCTGGCCGCGGACGGTGCCTCGCCACTCCTGGGGATGGAATGACAGCCCATCGTGTCCCCCCCACCAGCACACAGACGAAAGCCAGCAGAGCAGAGTGTCCTGAATCTGTATTTCATGAGGTTTCCCCAGTGCCCTTCAGCTGTAGGGGAGCGAGAGAGAGAGAGACAGAGAGAATGAGAGACACGAGCAGGAGGGGGCCGTCTCACCCGGTGCCATAGCCTTACGTCTCTGCGCAGGAGACGCAGCATGCACACTTCCAGTGCCTTAAGTACTCACCAGCCCTTCGGTGTCAGCCTGGGTGTTGTGTTTCCCCAAAATGACTTTTTGAAAAACAAAGCAAATATTTTAATGAATTATTTGGAGAGGACCTTTTCATTTAAGCATTAACGTTACCTTCTGTATTGGTGTGTGTGAGCTTGTTCTTGCGAATCTGTGATAGTAACGTATGTTCTGTGAGCTGGAAACAGAAGAAAAAAAAAATATGCCCTTGGATACCCATAGCCAATAACTGGAAGAAAATGATGTGAATTTCGTGTAAATTACCAGAGGAACTATGGATAAGATGTTCTTTTTTCTCTCAAATAGACCTTTTTCTTGTTCTGTTTGCTACCGGCGGAGCTGTAATTTGGTCCTCGGTAAGGCGGGGTGTGGTTGATGAAGGTTTCCAATTTGGTGCCAGCCAAAACCGAGAAAGATTCGAGCTTCAACCTCGTACGTGTTTTCAGCGTTAGACATGGTATTACCGTGCAAGTGTCGAGACATCCATTCTTAACTTCCCGAGAAGAGTTATGCTGGCAACTTTAGCCTATGGAGAACATGCACAGATGTCCTGTATCTGATTCCCCCCCTTTTGGTATATGTATTATTAATATTATTATTATTATTATTATTATTAGTTCATCAGTTTGCTGGTCTCTGCAGTCAGCAGAAACAAATGGGCAATATTTGTCCAGGGAGACCTGGGCTGCCCCCGGGTCCCTGTGTGGGCATCTGCCCGCAGCTTTCCTTGCCTCCCCGCCCCCCCACTCCCGGGTGGTAGCTCTTCTACTGTACTTAGACAAGCTTTCTTCCGTGACTGCAGAATCCAGCGGGGGCCGGGCTCCTGAACGGCCGGCCGAAGAGCAGCTCAGAGAGGGGAGAGCAAGGGTGCACGCACCCGGGGCTTCTGAGAAAGCCAGGCAGCGAGAAGACCTGCCCCTCACCGGTCTTCCTGCCAAACCCAGCCCAAGCCTTACCCGCCTGTGCTACTGTTGTTTGCAAAGCGAGGAAGTAACTACTGCTGGTAATAAAACTGCACCTGCAAGATTGGAAGATGAGAAATAGATGTGCATTTACCTTCCTGTGACTGGGGTTGGTGCTTGAAGCGGAACATGCTGTTTCTAGTGTTCCTGAAATAGCCCGAACCCCTGGGTGCGAAAAGGCAGGAATTTTTTTTTTTTTTTTTTTTTTTTCCCCATGAGCATCCCATGCAGGCGATAGAATTCCCTCACTGTAGCCACCAGCAGTGACAAGAAGTATTGCCCTACTGTAGCTGAGCTTGCGTTCAGCGTCCTGTCCCTCAGCCGAGACCTCTAGGGCACCCGAGCCTTGCGCTGCCAGGGGCCTCCTGTGCTGCTCCACTGGCCAGACCCGCTCGCCTTCCCCTGGCCACCCCTCCTCCCCGCATCCCAGCCCCTTCCGCCCCCCCCGAATCTCCCCCCTCTGCCGACACTCACCAACACACACACACACAGACCCTTTTCTCCCCACTTCCTTACCGATTTCTCGATTTCTAGTGGCCAAAATCCCAACTGCCCAGACTTCAAAGAAAGATGTCTATTCTTTTGGGATAACGACGCACGATCTCTTTGCATGTGAAAGGAAAAAGGTTGAGGTATCTATGACTTTTAACTGTATTGGGGATGTCTGAACCCGAGGTTTGATTTACTCTAGATGAATACAAATCAGAACCAATGATCCCGTTATCACTATATACCCAGTGTGGTTTGCTTAGTTAAAAAACCAGTTCGTGCATCCCTTCATTTTTTTTTTATGACGATTGTTATTGTTATTATTGTTGTTGTTATTACTTGGGGTATCTTGTGTTTTGTTTTTCTCTGCAGCTCTCCACACTAAATGTCGCGACTCTGTGGAGAGAAGCCATGACTTAGCGCGTGGTGAGATGTAGCAGGAATGGGCCCGGCCGCGTGGCCAGGGGCCATAGCTTGCCATAATCACTATTGATTTAAAGCTTTATTTAGCCTCCATCTGTACCCTCGTAGTCGATAAGGTCTTGCCACATTTTATTAGTGAGGTTGAGAAATGTATTACTTGTTTGTCGTTCTCCCTCCCCCCTCCCCCAGTATTAAACTGTGAAATTTGTGATTTGTTTAAACTCTGGGTGAATCATAGTTTAGTTTGCATGTCCAGCTAATTTGTTTCTATACATTTTGTTTGATTCTCTTTCTCCTTCTCTCAGGGCTTTTACAAAAAAAAAAAAAAGTATATATATATATATATCCATATATATATATATATGGATCTTCTGAAAAGTTTTTTGAGGTGCAAGTGTTTCTCTTGTTTTTCTCTTTGATTTATGGACACAATGCTGAGATTCAATCACTACATGAAACCCCTGGCTGTGAACACAAAATAGAAGCCCCGGGGCTGTTTTCCACACAGCCCCGGGGGAAGCTACGTGACAGTCAGATGCCAGTTTCAGAAAAGATGCATCGTACCTTCTTCCACCCTCTTTGTCTCTGTCCTCTCTTTCTTCAAGAAGGAAGTTGATCCCAGTGATTTCAGCCCATGCATTAAACAGGAAACAATAATAAACGTGTAGAATTCATATTTTTCTAAAGGGAACTTAACTGCTGCTACGTGTTATGTACAAAACCGGTTTATGCCACATGAACAGAATCACAAGTTTGGTTTTGGTACTTTTGGTTCCTCTTTGTATTCAGTTGTATAGTACTTCCAAATTCAGAATGAGAAGAAAAGCTGTTCTGTATCAAACCATCTAAGCAATAAATGTTATATTTTAAAAATGGCAAGATTGCCGGGCAGCCAGCCGTCCTGTGATTTGCTGTCATCCCACCAGCTTGTCCACCCTCCACACCACAGCCCGTGGGGCCCAGGCTGCCGACGTCTGGAAGCATCGGGGAGGGGGGACCCGCATGCCTGCTCCCCGACTAGGGAGGTGACGAGTCTACTGCTCTGGCAACTGCCGAAGCCAGGGCTTGTGTTTTCTGGGCAGCACCTCCTGGGACGTCCACTCTGCCTTTTCCTCCTCCTACCGCTTAGAAGGGGTTGCATTGCCCCTGGGTGCGGGAAGACCCACCAGAGGGGAGGTCTGGCATTGTAAAGTTACAGATGGGTAGACAGCCGAATCTTCTAAGCCAGGACTCAAAAAGCATCTCCGGAGGAAGCTGGGTTCGAGGCGAAGTAACTGTAGACAGAGCTTCAACTGCATCAACCATGCTGTCGGTCTAAGTGCCAGGTCACGGCAAGACGAGTTACAGTGCTCCAGTCTGTAAGGCTTCCAGGGTCCTCTGTTGGGAAGCCCCCCCACCATGCACACACAGCCCTCCCTCACCAGCCCCAGGACACTGGCCGCAATACTAACCGGGGGTCCTGAACTTGGATTAAATAAGTTACTTGCTTATAACTTGGGAATGATCAGAGCATAACTAGACGAGCCTCCCCAGTCGTGGGGGCTGGGTGCCACTGGCCACCAATGAGCAGCGTTTACAGCCCCCTCTCCCCCACCACCGTGGGGGGAGTCATTTTCCCGGTGGGATTTGGGTTGCACCTGCTCCGTGTGAAGAACTAAGGGGCATCCCCTGCAGAGCACGACAGAACAGACCCAAGGGCACAGCCCTGTGGGAAATGCCTCCACCCACCCCCCCACCAACGGCCGTGCGTGGAACACAAGCCCCTGGGTCCGGTTGCTTTGGGAGAAGGCACATAGGAGGTGAAAAGGTGGGATTTATCAAGAGTTGCACCTGTTGCTTCAGGAGCGTGTCTGGACGGCTGCCTCCACCATGGCCCTGGAGCGCCCGCTCTGGCCCCTGGGGAGCGCTCACTGCACACGCATCTCCAGCGTCCCCTGGTGCCCTCATCCCCTCGCTCACACGGCACCCAGGGCTGAGGCTGTTCCAGGCTTACGTGCCTGGCTCCAGGCTCCTCGCTGGCTGGAGCCCTGCACAGACCCGCAAAGTCCATGTCCCGGTGGTGGCCAGTTTTCCAGGCCACTGTTCTGGAAAAGGAAGGGAGTTAGCATGTGCAGACTGGACATTTTTGACAGAGTTTATTTTTTGGCTCCCATAGAAATTTATATAATGAGTTTCACTTAACCATAGTCTGTTTATTAGGAAAAAAGTTGGGTGTGGGTTTTCTCTTCTGTTGTGTCTTCAAAGAATCCTGGTCCAGCACAGGTAGAGATTCAGGTATATACCAAAGGCTGTCGTAGCCAGAGACCCAGCTCCTCGTGTTTCAACCCTCTCCTGGACATTTACTTTCCCTATTGGACGGGGGAATGAAAGGAATTTAGTTTACTATCAGTTTCACGGGGGCGCCTGGGTGGCTCAGTCGGTTAAGCATCTGCCTTCAGCTCAGGTCACGATCCCGGGGTCCTGGGATCGAGCCCCACGTTGGGCTCCCTGCTCAGCAGGAAGCCTGCTTCTCCCTCTCCCTCTGCAGCTACCCCCGCCCCCCAGTTGTGCTCTCTATTGCTCTCTCCCAAATAAATAAATAAAATCCTTAAAAATAAAATCAGTTTCACTTTTGTAGCTGTCCAAACGTGGCTGAGGCCTGAGTATTTTAGCTGTCCGTCCCTTCCCGGGATCCGGTGAACATTGATTATGCGTTTATTCAACAAAGTTGTTTCCTGGGCAGCCACTGTATGCCCGGCACTGACCTGGGCACGGGGAATACAGCAGGAACAAAACCGATCTCTTTCCATGTGGAACTTGGGTTTTAACAGTGGCAGACAATACACAGACTAGCCGAGGAGGATGCAGAGTTAGTGAAAGTCCGAGGGGAAGAGGAGGCCATGGGGGAGTGGGGCCAGGAGGGATGGTGACCAGGGAGGTCTCAGGACAGCAAACAGCAAGAAGTCACCCACGCAGGTGTCCCGGGAGGGCCCCTGGAGAGCAAAGCGTTGGGGGAGGCTGCCGGGCCTTGCAGAAGCCCGGTGACTGGGGTGGGATGAGCAGGGGGTGGGGCAGCGGGGCGTGCGGGCAGCATGTGGACTGTGGGATGATGGGACAAGGGTGGACCCAGGGAGGCCACCAAGAGGCAGTCACACTGATGTAGGCCCTACGTGGTAGCGGCTTGGAGCAGAGTGGTGAGGTGGAGACGTTGAAGAAAGGTTGGGGTCCGGGTATATTTTCAAGGGGAGCTGACAGCATTGGACGACCCGTCAGATCCCACAGCTATAGAGAAGTCAAAGCTTGGAGAGTCCACCCAGAACACATGGGCTCAGAGCTGAGCTGTGATGTCCAGACATTCAGAATTCACTTTTTTTAAATAAAGATCTCATTTATTTGAGAGAGAGCACGAGTGGGGGGTGGGGCAGAAGGAGAGGAAGAAGCAGGCTTCCCGCCGAGCAGGGAGCCCGATGTGGGGCTCGATCTCAAGACCCTGGGATCATGACCCGAGCCGAAGGCAGACGCTTAACTGACTGAGCCACCCAGGCGCCCCCAGGATTCACTTTTAAAAGAGGAGGCTTCACAAGTGTCCATCGACAGATGAATCAATAAAGAAGATATATCGGAATATTATTCAGCCATAAATAAAGGAAGCTTTCCACTTACAACAACATGGATAGAACTAGAGAGTATCATACTAAGCAAAGTAAGTCAGTCAGAGAAAGACAAATACCATACAATGTCACTCATATGTGGAATTTAAGAAACAAGCAAAGGATAAAGTGAGAGAGGCAAACCAAGACACAGACTCTTCACTCTGGAGAACAAACAGGTGGTTATCAGAGGGGAGGTGGGTGGGGGCTGGGTGCTGAGGATGGAGGAGCCCACTTGTCGTGGTGGGCACTGGCTGATGTGTGGAAGTATTGAATCGCCACATCGTAGACCTGAAACTAACATACACTATATATTAACTGTCCTGGAATTAAATTAAAAAATTAATTATAAAAATAAAAGTAAAAGAGGGGGCTTCCGTCCTGAAAATTAACCTTGGTAGAGGAAATGAAGAAAAAAGAAAAAAAGTCCTTAATTCTTTCTGTCCACGCCGCATAAGCACCCCATTTCTGGGAAGCGGGTTCTCCTGTCCCTGTGACCAGGACCACACAGGTCTTTCTGCGGTGGGTCCCCAAAAAGACTGCGGCCTCCTGGCCAGCGTGATTTCCGGGCGCGCCCCTGGCACCCCGACACCCACCGCTCACGCTCCCCTGGCCCGGCGCCCTTCCTGCCTGTACCCCGCAGGGCACGCTGCCGTCCGGAGCGAGGAAAGAACAGGAGGCCGTGCCGGAAGGCGGGGGCACCAGACGCGGGGTCCTCAGCTGTCCTCGGTGGGCCGGTTCCCCGACGGGGAGGGGGGCCTTAGGATGTCAAGCTCTGACTGTAGCCCCGGGGCTCTGCCCGAGCAAAACCAGCTTTGACAGGCCGAGGGGACGCTAATGCAAATGGCCATGCCCTCAAGTCCCGATGGCTCTCCCGGGAGAGACTGAGTCCGCGGTCACAGATGCACGTGGACGCGTCGCTCGCCCCTGGTGCCGGTCGCTCCCTCCTATGGTATCTGATTATCTGATTTGGCCAGTCCTGGAGGAGGGAAGGAGCTCTCCGGAGGGCAGGCCCAATCCCCCACCGGCTCTGCCCAGTGGGTCTGTCTGGGCTTGACCTTGACGCACTTGACTCCGAGTTCGGTGCTCCTGACCCGCGGGGCGACCATCAGCCCCTCTGTGCCTTGAGGATTGGGGTCCAAGCAGGGCACTTGTTACTGTCTCCTCTCCCCTCCCCCCCCCCCCCACTCCAGAAATGACATCAAGGAGTACTTGCCTCCTGCCCTGGATCTCAAGCTAGAAGAGCACGCGTTACTGTGTGTGTGATCAAACACAACAGAAAATGTACTTTCTTCTCCGTTTCCAAGCATACGGGTCAGGGGTATTAAGTGCGTTCGCATCGTCGTGCAAACACCACCACCATCCGCCTCAGCACGTTGCATCCTCCCAGACTGAAACGGTCCCCGATCAAACCCCAACTCCCCCTCTCCCCTCCCCCAGCCCCTGGCAGCCACCGTTTTACTGTCTCTGTGAATGTGACCCCTCTAGGGACCTCAGAGAAGTGGAAAGAACATCTCATGTTTGAAAGAGAATTTCATCCACACACGTGTCCAAGAGCTCGCTAAGTGGGAGCCTGGACGGGGGACAAGCCTGACTGCATGGAATTTATCCGGGTAGCACAGGGAGGGGAGCCCCCAGCCCCTGGGGGAGGGGTCCCAGAAGTCAGGTCCCTCTGCCTGAAGACACAGCTAGCTGTCTAACCCCCGTGTCAGAGGGGCAGGGAAGAGAAATGGCCAAGAGCCAGGTCGCAGGGCAAGCCGGCGGTGTGCAAATCCCAGCTCTGTCTCTTAGGCCTAGTGAATGACCACGTGCCTCAGTTTCCCCATCCCTAAGAAGGGGATAAGAATAATGACCTACCTTGTGGGATTGCCATGCAGACTAGAAGAGCTCGGAACAGCACCTGCTACCAAGTAAGCGTAGCAGGAGAGTCCTCACAAGACCTCTGCGTCGGTCGCTGGGGAGGCAAGGGGGCAGAAGGTCCGCAGGGCACCTTCATTCCACAGATGTTGCGGGGAGCAGCCTGCCAAGGGTTTTGCGGGGGATGACCGAGCTTCCAGCCCCTGCTGGCTCCCTGGAGGAAGGGGAGCCGGACAAGCAGGGAAGGAGCTCTCGGGAGGGCAGGCCCGATCCCTGACCCGCTCTGCACACACTCAGTCCCCAGGGTCCCAAGTCAGCCCAGGGCCGCAGAGCGCACACGTCTCTCGCTCTCTCAGCCACCTGACCTTCTCGAGTTTGACTGAAGGAAGAGGA